GTTCCTAAATGACGACCTCGGAAAAATGAGGAAATATGAGAACCGTATGCACTCAATCTACACATGTTCGCTCTTTTTCTTCAATCGCTTAGAAACACGCTATTTAACATCATTAAAGTCCTGGTTAAGCTCAGGAAAAAGGTTATGGTTAGGGCTGGAATACAGGGCTGGAACGTCTATTACCACGGGAGCGTCATTGCACTGGATTTTGCCCATAACCCGCCGCGTACCATAAGAATGCCGAGGGTCTCCTTTCGCGTTCCTCAGGAACGCCGCGGGATGTGACAAAATGTCGGCATATTACGCCTCGGGAGTGAGAACGGGCTGGATTAATCACAAAGTTGAGCATACAGTCTAAGGAAGGCTAAAAGCGTCGTTCAGCGCTATGTCTGAACTGATATATTGATGAAATGACCTGTATGCTGTGAATGAAGGCCTAACACGCTCACATACACATAGATATGAAATATAATTTCAAGGGTAAAGGTGAAAGACTTTGTCTCTGCTTAGCAACTAGTGATCCGGGGTCCACAGGAAACATCTGGGGGGGCCAGACAACCAAATAAGGAGGAAACTTGTTGAACTGTCGTTAATTATAACCTGTACTTGTGATGTTTTTTCTGACGCGAGTCGGGGCGTTAACCCTGACATAATAAAACCATGCTGAAAGTATGTTTTGACGGAAGATCTGTATTGACAATATAGAGCTGTATCTTTCCACACATGTGTTTAATAAAATCATTGCTTTGACGCACTTTGACCAGTAGTCGTTTGTCTCACACCTCAATCACGGATCGGGACACAAGCTAGAGTATTTAACACATCTAACATGGACTATGAAGCTCCAGACCAGGCAGACATTGAGCTTAAACTGGCTGGTTCAGCAGGAAAACTGTGGTTCAAGAATCAGCGGTCTAGGGCACTGAAACAGAGGGAAAGGAGAGTCAGGGTGGTTGTGGGAAGTGGTGAAAACGTCTAAGCCTTAGTTGCCTCAGAAAATAGAGACGACTCTGGCCCTTCCTGTAAAGTGCAGTGGTGTTTTTAACCCAGTCCAGTTTATTATCAGTGTGTACTCCGAGGTATTTATAGCCCTCCACGATGTCCACATCGACCCGCTGGATTGAAACAGGGGTCAGGTGTTTCCTGGTCTTCCTAAAGTCCATAATCAATTCTTTGGTCTTTGAAACGTTGAGCTGCAGCTGATTCTGCTCGCACCACGTGACAAAGGAGTCGACCACAGCCCGGTACGCTGACTCATCACTCTCACTGATGCATCCAACCACCGCAGAGTCATCAGGAAACCTCTGAAGGTGGCAGGACTCTGTGCAGTGGCTGAAGTCTGTGGTGTAGAGGGTGACGAGGAAGGGGTGCAATGAAGAAGACGCACATACTGTGACTTTCCTGTCACATCCTCAACAATCCAGGACACGACAAGCATCCACATTCATTGCTGTTAG